GATGACAGCCACCACCTCACGATGGTGGCGGTGGTTTCCTTTAGTCTTCTGCCCGGCAACATGTCAACATGCTCACGAACGGCATACAGTGGAAGACGAGGCAAGAACGACGGCAATGGTTGCGCCTACAACCAACATCGTCGACAGCAGCAATGGTTCGGAGGATAGCAGTGACACACAGGTGTGATATCCCTTCGGGATGGCAACCGATGACCGGAGCACATAAACGATCCATATGACGACGACGCGAGTTGTAGCAGTGGCAGTAGATGAAGGAATATCCTTTGGTGGTCCTTGTCATCATTAGTAAAGAAATAGCAGTAGCGCACCATCTCGCCGGCATCAACGGGTTGTGATGGTAGCTTCGGTGGTGGGAGACATGAGGTGGTGTGGAGCTGGATGGGAGGTATAAGGTGGTGGTGGCGACTGATTGCTTCCATTAGGGTTAGGATTCCCATAAGGGTTATATACCCATGTCCTACAAATTATTGCCATAATGGCAGGAATGGCCCTTCAGTCATCGCATTCTTTCAAAGCAAGGCCAAAATTTACCCTTTTAACCCTGCCTTCTGAAAACCTTTCCAAATCAAGTCCAAAATGTTACCAATCAGCCCATGCATCCATAAATCCTTACATATTAAGTCCCAATAATACCAAACGCCCCCTGACTTCTAAAATCCTTTGCGAAACAAGTCCCAAAATTACACTTTAATCCCCAAATAATCCAAATTATTACAATCGGCTCCCCAAAACCAACAATCCACTAAATAATATGGATTTAGTGCGACTATTTGTTCATCAATTTATCTATTTATTTATTAAATAAACAGAATGTTACATGCGTTGTTGATGATCATGGTTTATATGAAATGGAAGAATGTTCTAGAAGATGATGCATAGCAGAATATGATTAGTTGTCACCATTCATGGGCCTATGGGCCAATGAGCTTGCCCCATTAGGGTTTTAAGTTTGATCCCTCAAGTAGAAATAGGGATGCATTCAGAGTCATTTGAAGTGTCTTTTGTCTTGTATATTTTATCCTTAGTGAGTAGGACAAATCTATGATGAATTTTAATGGCAAAATGCATAAAAACCCTTGAGTTTTTCAGGGATTTGCGATTTTACCCTTTGACAGAATTTTGGTTCATTTATACCGTAAATTTGTAAAATAAATTTTGGTTTTGCCCTTTTTACAGGTTAAGTTGGTAACCTGTATTGCTGGCACGCCACGTGGATGATGAGTTGGAAGGACTTGGTAATGTGTTAGCCGTGTCTGACATGGCGTATAGTTGCTTTATTCCTTAATTATCAAACTGATAAGGAAAATTGGGTGGTAAGGGGAGTCGAACCCAACACCACCAACTCATAAAGCAAGGAAGATACCACTGAGCTGCATCACTTTTTGCAGGTAGATTATTGTGACGCCCGGTTCGATCTTGTACTTAAGGCCAATAAAATCCTTAATGATAACTACTTGTATTCCAGAGTGCTAATGCACACCAAAATTGTTGTAAATTTTAAATGAGAAAAGAAATTTTTGGGGTGTACTTGGTATGAAAAACTGGGCGTTACAATATTAAAGCTTCTAAACACTCTCAATAACATCATAATCAAGCTATAGGTTTGATCAATTCAACCATTCTAACCAATCTAACAATTTCACCATTTAAGCTCAAAGCCTAATCTAAGGGACAATCATTACCTTTAGGGGAAAAGGATGTTAATCTTTACAACCCACCATCTCTAACTTGTAACGACCCGGTTTTTACAAAGAAAATATTCATTTTTGAATAAACAAACACATTTCCAATATCAAGAAATCCAGTTATAATTTTTTTCAAATCATAAGTCAAATACAACTTTTATTCCAAACATCAGAGTGTCCCGTGAAAATGCCTGAAAGAGAGTGCATGTCGCGCCATCACGCATTGCCCTTGCCTTTGGGATCTGAAGTAACTGAAACAAATCCACAACATGTAAGCTAATTCTTAGTGAGTTTCCTAGAGCACACCACACACACAATCCACATATCACATATCCCGTTAGCTATAAAAGCAACCTATATCACATAATCCATGCATACATAAACCTTTAAGGATGCCATGGGCTCCCCTAGGGTCTTACACCTTTGTGCCATGTGCTACCCCACATGGTCTTTACATAGGAATGCCATGGGCTACCCCACATAGTCTTACATCCAATGCCATGGGCTACCCCACATGGTCTTACCTAGGAATGCCATGGGCTACCCCACATGGTCTTACATCCAATGCCACGGGCTCCCCCTGGGGTCTTCCATGCAATAACACACAATCACATAGCATATCAAATCATAGAAATGACTAACACATATACCATAATCACATAATGGGACGACCTTGGTGCCTTAGACCCATGGGTATGGTGAGAAGACTCACCTCTGCAACTGAATGTGAAAGTTGCTCTCCTAACAGTCTATAACCTTCCATGCTGAATAATAATATTAATCGATGTTAGGACTTTACTTAATCAAAAGGGAACCCAACCCCAAGTCCTTCCAAAAAGGCCTAATTATCCTTTCTTTGTTAATAAGCCCAAAGTCCATTGTCCAAAATTATTAATGAGCCTCTTGGCCCATTAAGACCCTTCCATAACACCAATGGCCCAATACAGATAAAATGGCCCACTATTCTCAGAATGTAACCAAGTCCAATAACCAAATGAGCCCCAACAGTTCAAAGGCCCAAAACAGATTCAAGCCCATTTGTGATGCGTACGCTTAACGTACCACCCTGGTATGCGCAATGTATTAAGGCTCTGGGACTTACGTGCACCGTACACTGGGTTACGCCCAGTGTACTAACAGATTAAGCACTTTTTCCATTAAGTGCTTAATACTCGATTCTTTTACGTCCAAAAGTCAGATCTACGCTTATTAAGACGACCTAGGGCATAAAGTTGGTAACTTTATGCCTTTGCATGCCTCATATGTTCCCAACACCCCCATTAAGACCTTTCTAAGGTTCTTAATCCATGCATGAGGTCAAAACACCCACCAAAACTTCATTTTTATGTTGCAAAAGGACCAAGGGACCTCAGATCTTTCATTTCCATCTTTTGGAGTTGCTTAACTCACAAGAGGAGGTCCAAAATCAACCAAAGGGACAAAACTAGAAAACACTAGCTAAATCAAATGAATAAGATGGCAATGTCATATCTTTATACCTCCTGAAGCTTTGCAAAGTGAACTAGATGCAGATTCTTGAAGCACCAAACCACCCTAAGCTTGCTTAGCAATTCCCTCTTCTTGAATGAACTCTAAAGTGGCCACAAAAACCCACTCCTTAAGCTTAAAACCCTCTCACACAATATCTCAGTTGTAGGTGGACGAAATGAGGCTAAAGAGACTAATAGTGTTTGGTCCAAGAGGCTAAAAGGTATTTAAATAAGTGTCAAGTCTGAGATTTAGGGTTTTCACCCTCTGTTGCGTACGCTCGACATACCCTTACGTACGCCCCACGTACGCAAGGTTCCTTCGCAATCCTTCTCCCATAGTACGCTAAGCGTACCCTTAGATACGCCCAGCGTACGATAGGGACCATTTTTGCCAATTAATTCATTTTCAAGGGTTCCAAAGGTGTACCTGATTTAGAGTGTTATACTAACTCTTCTTGGCATGATTTTGGCATCAAAATCGCATTCTCCAAGCTTTCTAACCGATTCCAAGAGAAATTGGTTGAGTATGAGCTCTTAACTCTATTAAATTTGTTCTCTGATAGAGAAACTGCCCATGGTGGTATGTATAACGCGCTATGGTGCGTGTTATTAGGCCTCTAACCGAGCGACGATGTCTTATCCTTGCAACATCCTACCTTCTCCACCTTGCTGCAAGTACCCATATACTATGCTATGGTTGTAAAGTACATTTCCCTCTATTTACAACGAGACTTTCGTTTGAATCACCGCCGCATGTCATTTTGTTGTGGCAAAGTCTTCACCACGCTGCGATAGCTGTATAACAATAGCCTTCATGACTGATTCCCTTCCAGCTTGGGATGGTTTTTCTTCAAACTTCTAACATGCATAACTTCTTCATCTTAAACCCGTTTTCTATGATCGTTATAATCATGTGAAGGTGGGGATGAGTTCTACAACAACATTAAATCACTTCTTACTGACTTATTACGAGTCTTAATCTATTAAGTTACAAACTTGGCCCAAAAAGCATAAAATTTCCATTTTACCCTTTTGGCATAAATGCATCTTTTCTTGCATTCCTTCTCCTAAACTCACTTATCCTATCTCATAAAATTACTTAAACTTATCTTGGCTAATTTTATGAAGTTACAACTTCACAAACTTATAAAATTCTTCTAAATGATCAAATTGCCAACTTGGTCAATATTTGACTCAATGTCAAATCTCTCTAAATTTTGGGTTCTTACATAGGTTGCCCCCCTTCCGACCCTGCACGAAGGTGCCTTACATTGGGTTTGATGTTCAACACATTTTCAAATGGTGACACATATTAGCCTTGTTGAGGAATCCTATCAATCACATATGCAGCGGTTCTCATAGTTTCTGCCTAGAAACCTCCAAAAATATTGTTTTCAGATATCATACTATCACATACATCAGCCAAGTGATGGTTCTTTCTTTAGAGACTCCGTTTTGCTAATGGGTATTTGGACACATCAATTGTCTACCATTCTTGTGCTCTTGTAAGTAATTTACGAGAGCATAGTAGCAACATATTCCTCCCATTGTTTGATTGCAAGCAACGAATGCTTAGTCTTGACATTCTTTCTAGTGCCACATGACTTCTACTACTATCTATACTACCCACTACTTACAATATGAAGTCAGAAAATTGAAACATTAAACATGCATTAGGACATAAACTTAAAGATAAAGATATGCATGGTGAACGAATGCATGCAAGCGGTGTTGCAAGTCAATAATTCTGACATTCATTTATGAATTCCTTTATGAACCACTTGGTCTTGTTTGGTGCATGTTTGTAAGTAATAACATTCCTTGTTGATAGTTTTTTCAAAAATTAATTGTTGAAATTGGCTGTCTATTTGAGTGAATGTCTGAGAATGTTATACATGCATCAATTGTTAGCTTGAGTGAATGCAAAAAGATGATTTTTATCAAATATTTTTCACAAACTTATGGAGTCACTGATAAGTCAAACGTTTACACATTAATATGCTAGAGGATCAAAAGACTACAAGTTCTCCATTGCGGGTTTCCTTTAAAAAGAATCCAAGTCTTCATGAACATCATCATGTGTTTTAGAAGCTCAGAAAGTTCTTCTCTTTCAGGCTTTCAACAGTGTCCTTGATACTTACCTCCAATGGAGTAAATTCAACGCCTAAACTTTCCGCTTTTGCCCTCGATACAGTGTAAGGTACAGGCTCACCACCATTTCCATCTTTATACCTATCAAAAGTTAAATAAAAAAAACAAAATTATTGACCCTAAATAGATTATTTATAACTTTATATGTATATTCATAGGATTAGATACTTACTTTTCAGAATGGCCAAGAACAGGGTAGTGTTTATTTAAAATCTTCATGATCTCAGAAGAGCGAATCACTTCACCTACCAAACAGTATCTACCATTTGCTTCAGGGTTTTCAAATGCTAAAATATGAGCATTAGCAACATCTCTCACATCAACAAGTCTATAAATTCCATCTGGGAATACTTCCTTTCCTGCATATATTATGTCTCTATGTATCATGTATCCATAGCAAATGTACATTTCAAAGATTTGAGTTTGTTTAGAAACTTTATGTACAGAAAAGAATTGATCATGCATATAAATATTAGTTGTAGGATATAATTACCGGATTCAATCATGCCCATAATGCCCTCAGAAGTGAGGTTAAGAGTTGGTTGTAAGATAGGACCGATGACATAGCCAGGGTTTATAGCCACCAACTCCAAACCTTTCTCTTTACAAAATTTTACAGCAGCATCCTCAGCCAGGGTCTTTGAAAGGGCATACCATGACTGTAAAATGCAAAAGGGAAAAGGAAATGTAAAGATATGTTTTCTTGAAAAGTTAGTTAGGTTTACTAAATCTTTGATGATAACTTGAAGCACATGAAAGTTTTTAAAAGACTTGTACCTTTTTTTGCTCACATGTTTCTGGATCTGAAAACCAGGTTTCATCCATCACATCACCAAGCTGCAGAGGTTTTGCGGGAAACATAACTGCAGCCATGGAAGATGTCAAGACCACTCTTTTGAGAGATGGAACTTTTGCAGCTGATTTAAGGACATTAAGTGTCCCCTTCACTGCAGGTTCTAACAATTGAGCCTATTTGAGAAAAAGTTATACCAGTTTGAACCAAATGATAAGTTAGGAACATGCAATATATCCTAACAAAATGTAGGGATGGAAATTTGAGAGCAAAAGAAAGGGTAAAAAAACCTGTGGTTCAGACACTAAAAGCAGAACAGGAGATGCTGTATGAAAGACACAATCGCAGCCATTAACAGCAGACTCGAAAGATCCTTCTTCAGTCAAGTTAGCTTCAAACAGAGATAACCTTTCCTTAGCTCCATCAAGAGCACGTAGGTGTTCAGTCTTTTTAGGATCATCTGTAGCATATTTGAATGAAACCAGTTTAATTATGATGCAAAGCCAAAGTCCGATCGATATATAGTTTTGAGGTCAAAGTCGTTGGGAATCAGTCGAGTTTATGTTATCTTGAGCATTGCAATTGCAGTTATCACAAAATTTTCCGATAAATTCAAACAATTATAGGAATTGCTAGATGGAAATCAGTCAGTTTTTAGGGAAAATCAATGTAACAGCCATTGGTCTCGAACTTAGAGAATAATATTAAACTTCAATAGCGAATTAGGCTCACTAGACCTAAAACGGCTCCGATGTAGGTTACATAAACAAAGAATTTGATCGATAAATGAAAGATAGCAGATTAAAAGTCTAATCACGAAAGAAGGAGATACTGACCAAGGGAGCGAACGGTGGCATGAACAGTGTAGCGACGCTGAAGCAAGAGCTTAACGATCCATGAAGCTATGTATCCCGAAGCCCCAGTAACACAAACTACCTTGCCTTCTCCGCTCATCTCTATGAAATCAACGAGTTTGGTAGGTGATAGCCTGATAGGTGTTGGACACTGGAGCATAATAAGTATGAGAGTGGAGAGTGATGCTTTGTATTTTTGTGTATGGTTTGGAAGAATCAATATAATAGAGTCCAAGGGACGTCTGGACAAGTAAGGAAAGAGTCCAAAATGATCCACGTGGCGTTCATATGTAACACTTTGGATAAAACAGATCAAGCTCTAAAAAATAAATGTAAATACATTATTTGTATGCAGAATAGTAAATAGTAATTACAAATACATTATTTGTATTCAAGAGCTTTTTGTTTGAAATATAACTTTAGGATTCTTGTGTAAAACCTAATTGATATATGTGTTTGTGTAAGAATTATTCTGGGATACCTACGTGTATATAGTATATAATAAAATTCATATGCGTTTAATTTGGTTTCTTAAGCTAGATTTAGTTTCCCAAAGTTAAAAGTAATAGAAATTTTATGATAGTTCTTACATGGTCATGTGCTATTTCACTTGATTGCTCTTGGAAAGCGGTATAAGTTTAGGTAAATTGTTTGAAAATTCGTAATAAGCTTATAGTGAAAATTATGCAAACTTGTTTCAACTTTGACATGCGTATAGATTAGTCAATTAAGCCAACCAGAAGTTGAGAATTATTGTTGACTAAATAGGGTGCACCTACAGTTTTGTTAAAATTGTTTCACGTATTATCTTGGTTTGATGTAGGAATTATTTGTGTTGTAGGTATTTGAGTTTAGTGTGAGTTAGATCCATATACTTCTCTTACATTAGAGTTCTGAAGTTGAGACTGTCGATCATGTACATATTGTTTCAAGTCTATCTTTAAAGATTCAAGGTCTTTAATGAATCAACATTTAATGGTAAAACTGATGGACATGAAGAGGGTATCATCGTGGAAGTTGATTAAACTTTGTGTAAAAGTCAAACATTACAACTACGTGTGTTACTCCTTTTTCCTTGAACTTTTACATATTCCATATCTACAATTATTTGTATCTATCTTTGCAATTTTGTGTGAATAATATTGTTTTGTAACTATTTTTTTTATATTAAAGGTTATTATCATTGTTGCCCAACAAACTTTAGTACATTGGTTTAAAGAGTTCCTCGTGACTTTTTTTTTGAGGGGCATGTACTTGTGTGTTTATGTTTTAAAAGGCCATTTTGAAAATTTTGAAGGGGTCATCCGGTGACACCCAACCTATCTTGCATTTTGTCAATTCCAAGTCATTGTCATCTAGATTAAATAAGTCCATGCCATTGTCACGTAGATGTGATAATGTTTACCCTGGTTTTTCATTTGGACCATCCTATCTTGGAGCGAATTGGTACTCTTGTTCCCTTCTCCACATCTCACGCTCCAGATTTTACTATCTCCCTCCACCTAATTTGCAACTGTGGTGACTGTGACTGGGTTAATCGCCGACATTACTGTACCATAGAGAACCAAACCCAACAGTGGTAGTGGAAGTGTGGCGGTTTTCAGTGGAAGTTCGTGAATTTCAGGCACAGTTGAGGGGTATCGGCTATGAAAAGAAGAGGAAACGCCCTATTGGGGTTCGCTTTTGTCGTTGGTGCTTGCGATGATACGAATTTGAGCTTGAGATTTGGTGCTTGCGATGATACGAGGTTAGTAAACTGTTCTGATAGGGGAGTTTTGATGGCTATCAAGAAATGCAACCTAAAACACATCAAATCAATAATGTTTCTCGACTATCAAACACTAGTCAACACCCCAAATCCAAATGAATGTGATGTCACATGGAGATTTCGGAATCGGAAAGAGAAATCATGGAGAACGTATAGAGATTTCTCAAGTTTCAAGATCGAATTCACCGATTCCTTCGCTTACAAAGTAATCAGAGCAAAATGATGGCATTCCAGTGTCAATGCATGTCATCCCTGACGAACCCCATTCGGAAAAGGTGGAGGTTTGTTGGGGGATTGATCTGCGTCAATGTCTGCCTGAGCAACTGCCATCGACAAATCAAACCCATAGCCGGAACCGTCTTCAACCTACTCTCCGGAAATTGCAGCGCCAACGGCGTCACATGATTCACCTTGTTCCGCCACATCGGAGATGTTAGAAGGGACATCAGTGGAGTTGAACCAAGCGCCAATGGGCTCATCAAACCCATTTCCATTAAATTAATAGTAACATATCTTGATTTTGGAGAAGGAAGAGTTGATCAGGTAGAAGCGTACACTGGCTGGAGGTCTTCCACCCTATGAGCAAAATTAAAACCCTAATCATGTTTTGCACTTGATGGTCTTTGTACCTATGAATTTTCTCGTCATGGATGAAGCCATGATTCAAACACTCCATGTGTATATTCACACGAAGAAGAAAAAAGGTCATTAGAACAAAGAAACGTGTATGTATAGGTTAAGAAGAAAGGGTCAAAGAGATGTGGATGGTTGACCGTGTTCCTATAAGTCTATCATTGAGTCGACTCATTAGTGAGTCTATGTTGACTCACTGGGTTATATGTATTCACTAACTTGCTTACTTGACAAGTGACTAGGCAGGAATACCGGCTAAAATGGTAAAAGGACATTTTCAAACTGTAAAACACAAGTACGTGCCCCTTAAATGTAAAAAATAGTCACGAGGGACCATTTAAACCAATATACGAAAATTTATTGGGCCACAATGACAATAACCCTTATATAAATCAAAGTATTTTTTTTTATATGTTTGGGGTTTATTCAAGAAATTATATTTACTTATAAAAGTTGACACTAACACTCCTTAGGACTTATAAAACTATAGTTTTTACTTATATATATATATATATATATATATATATATATATATATATATATATATATATATATATATATATATATATATATGTTCAGGTTCATTTGAGACCATTCTAATTTTGTGAGACCGTGAGACCAAATCTAAAAATAATTTTAAAATGCAAAATAAATAGAAAAATCCAAAAATTCTTTTTTTAAATATTATTTTCGGAACTTGAATTAACTAAAAAAAATATAAAAAAATATAAAAATAAATAAAAATAAATAAAAAAAATTCCGTTTTTTTTTTTTTGAAAAATACGTAAAATATTCTAAATAGAATATTACACTGACATATTCTAAAAAATAATTTTAAAATGCAAAATAAATGTAAAAATCTAAAAATTCTTTTTTTACATATTATTTTCGAAACTTAAATTAACTAAAAAAAATTAAAAAAAATCTATTTTTTTTAAAATACATGAAATATTCTAAATAGAATATTACACTGTACATATTCTAAAAATAATTTTAAAATGCAAAATAAATGGAAAAATCAAAAAATTCTTTTTTTAAATATTATTTTCGGAACATGTATTAACTAAAAAAAAATAAAAAAATACGTCTCACGGTCTCACAAAATATAGGTGGTCTCAAATGAACCTAACCCTATATATATATATATATATATATATATATATATATATATATATATATATATATATATATATATATATATATATATATATATGAGTATTGGATATAAATAAATGCATACTTTTGAAACCGTATGTAGCTTTTGGATTTAAAACTTCTTGTTCTTTTTCAAGTTAATTTTATAAACTAAAAACTAAAAGAAATTTTGAATTACTTAAAATCTTCCTCCAAAAAAAGGTTTCATAAATAAATTTGATGTTCCAAACTTTCAATCAATTCAAAGTGCAAACGATTATGGACACTCAAAACTACTATTTAATGTTCCAAACTTTCAATCAATACAAAAAAAATGTACACTTCAAGTTGCGAAATTGTCCTTTAAATTTAACAAAAATCAAAGTAACACAAGATACATAACATTAGATACATATAAAGTTGTAGCAAAGAAGTTAGACAGATGGGTCAATAAGTTCGCCATTCAACAACTCACGATAAGCAGCAACTGGCCAAATAAACCCACGGAATACCAAACTTGAAGCCAATGGAACATCGATGATGATCTCTTTCATTGTAGGCTTCTTCTCATCCCTAATTGCAATCAAATAACTCCTTCCAACCCACCCAATCCATCCAGCAATGTACAGAAACAGAATCCCTGGTGTAATGAACTCTCCCCAATGCCTTTGATCTCCACTCACTATCAAGTGTGGAAGCCCATCAGATCCACACAACAATCCTTGCTTTCCATAGTTGTCAAATCTACACTCAAACAAACAATTTCATCCCCAATTAAGAAATCGACTGTGCTAATATTCGAATTGAAGTAAGAAATCTAACTTAAGAAACATAAAAGTTGTTATAAAATGTACACAACTTACCTGCGCTTGGTCTTTTCCATGGTAGCCTTAATAGCAAGTGCAGGAGCACTCTCGGGGGCGTAAAGCTTGAGAGAGCTTTCAAGCTTCTTCAGTGACTGCTTCTCTCTCTTGGCGAACTGTTTGGACTCTTTACATGGAGTGAGTCCGGAGATGTCGGCGGAGGCTGGAAGCGCCGGGATAGTCGACGAAACCAAGATGGAAGAGAGAGCGAGAGCTGCTGACCAAGCTTTTAACGATCCCTTTTCATTGCTTTTGTCTTCTGTGGCACCAGAACAGACGATGTTGTTGCTGGTGATCACCTTCAATTTGGATCCGAACTGCGAGGATTTGGAGATTTCGAGTGGTTGGAAGAAGCTTGTGGAGATTGTGAAAGCCATCTCCTCCGATCTGTTTGTTGAAATGCTTGAGAGAATGATGATGGAATTAGTATGAAGAAATAGAAATGGATGGTGGAGTGGAATCCGTTGGATAAGATGTGAAGATGAGGTGGCGGATTTTTATTGGTTAATGATTGTGTTGTTAGTGGTTGTGGGTGGCTCGTAATCCATTGTGTATATTTTGTTGAAGAGATCATGCAAAAAAAATATGTTAAATCATTTTGTATTTTGGAAAATATATCTTTATAATAAAATGTTTAATGGTTTCTGTTTAAAAAAAATATGTAATAACTCTTTTTTCATCATGGTGGTAGCCACATTTTACAGAAAACCAGTTATGCTAAAATATTTAAAATAATAATGATTAATATTGTAAATAGATAACAAATTTTCCTTTTCGTAAAATACCATTATTTTATAAATATAATATATGAAGATAAATAACTGAACTTTATACTTACAAAATACCATTATTTTAATATGTGTTTAGTAGTATTATGCGGAAAAAAAAGTGTCTCATCACACATTCATGACACATTTTTAAAACAATAATATTTTCTAATAAAAACAATTTATTATTCATTAATTATATTAACACTAATGTTTATCTAGATTTTTTTATTTTTATGTTTTTCTTAATTAAATATCAGCAAGGGCATGATGGGAGTTGAGAGTTGTGTGATTCCCACAAGCCTTGAATGTTCAATGGCAACCATTTCAGGCGTTCAGTTTTATATACGTCTCATTATGATATTGAATCAGATAGTTGCAGTCGTGTGGATTCCACGGTGCCTAAGGTTTTTTTAAGATTAATTACTTCAACGAGTACTACTTATATGTTATGGAGTAAGCCGCATGAGTGGTCTACTTGCACATTTAGTCTTTAATTCGGATATACCATTTGTAAAGTCTTAAATGTCAAATTTGTTGTTTCCATATTCTACATAAAAAGATTATTGCGTTACTTTTATGTTATATTTGACGTATTAATTGAAAAGTTAGCTGTTAGTTGTGTGATAATTGAAAAAATAGTTGTTAAATAAAAAACTAATTGATAACTGAAAAACTAACCGATAAAAAATGACATTTGGTAAACTAATTGAAAAATATAAAATGAGATTTAAAATAATGTATTTTTATAATTATTAACGGATATGTTTGGAAATTTTTTAAAAAACTTATAAAATGTTAGTCTAAATAGTTTTTTAAAAAACTAGTTTATAGGCTACTTTTTAGCTTGTTAAACATGACAACTTAAAAAAACTCGAAAAATAAGTTATTTTATCAGCTAGCTGTGGTGCGTCAAGCACAACCTTAATTCTTTTATATTTAATTTTATGATTTATATATTTATTTTATAATTAAATTTATGATTTATTTTTTCCATTCGTTAACTATAATAGTAAAATTCAATAGTGTACATGTAACATCCCAAAAATCATAAGTAAAAATTTCATTTTTAAGTCAACAAAAATCCATCAAATATTCATATCAAACCATCAAAAGTATGTCAATGTGAAAAGAGTTATTAGAGTACAATCCCAAAATCGTAATAATGCTAAACATTGGTGGATGCGCTGCGATCGGGTCGGGCCCTTCCCCTTCGAACCGGAAGTGCCTGAAACATAAACTTAAACCGTAAGTATAAAGCTTATTGAGTTCCCTAAATACCACATATCATACATGATACATACATATCATACTATAACATATACGAGTCTATTTCACCCATGAGTCCCTTCCGACTCCCTGAGTCCCTTCCGACTCCTTCAGTATCTTTCAACGGGTACGAGAATATTTCATTCCTACAGCTAAGCATATAGTCATACTAGCAAGAGTCACGAAGACAACAAGCACATACAAGCATATTAGTAAGTGTCACAAAGACCACTACTATCCTGCAACATAATCCAGTAGGTCGACATTGGTGCCTTTGACCTATAAGCACAGTGAGGAAACTCACCTCACTATGAAGATGAACAAATCACATTCCTGGGCTGTTGCTACCACGACTCCTCACATTGAACGTATCCAAAATTAACCCTAATAAATAATCATGTTAATAACACATAAGAAATGGTACAAATTATAATCTAATATGCTAAGGGTAAAAGACCATTTTACCCTTCTCTTAATTAACCCATCTAACCATGGCCCAAACCCATAAAGATCTAAGGCCCAACAATGGCCCAAATACCTTTTGGTAAGTATGCCAAGCGTACCACCCCATTATGCCCAGTGTACAAGCCTTAACAACAAAGGAAGTCGGGGCTAAACACGCTCCGTTGAGCATACCCAGAGGTTACGCTCAACGTACTCCCCTAAAGCCCAAAATCCATATTAAGCACTTAATACCTAAAGTCTAAGTGATCACGCAACCTCTCTACATTAGAACTACACCTAAACCCGTGATTGGCGTATCACAATAAACCACGAAGTCCTCAACACCCTCCGACACGGTTAAAATCAGCACCTCACACAATCTCTGCCTCAGGGTCTCAAAAGTTGCCTGCTACTTAGGCCCTTAGTGAAAAGTGACGGTCTTCTTCGTCAACTGAGTCATAGGAATCGCTATCTTGGAGAAACCATGGATGAATCTCCGATAGTAACCTGCTAACCCAAGGAAACTCTGAATCTCAGATGGAGACCTCGGAACCTCCCATCTCATCACAGCCTCGACCTTGGTCAGATTGACTAGAATACCGTTATGGTTGACAAGGTGGCCCATAAATTGCACCTCACACAACTAGAACTCATACTTGGAGAACTTCACAAAAAGTCTCTCCTTCCTTAAAGTCTCCAAAACCTCTCTCAAGTGCTCCTCATGCAGTTCCTGGGTCTTGGAATAAACCAGGATATCATCAATGAATACAATCATAGACCGATCCAACATCGGCCTGCATACGCGGTTCATGAGGTCTATGAATGCAGCTGGAGCATTGGTGAGCCCAAAGGGCATCACCACAAACCCGTAATGATCATAACGAGTCTGGAAGGTCGTCTTCTGCACCTCCTCATATCTGACCCTCATCTGATGGTAACCCGAATGCAGATCAATCTTGGAATACCAAGAAGCACCTTGAAGCTGGTCAAAAAAATCATCAATCCTCAGGAGTGGATAACAGTTCTTCACAGTTAGCTTATTCAACTCCTGGTAATCAATACACATCCAATGATACCCATCATTCTTCTTCACAAACAGGATCGGTGCTCCCCATGGCGAACTGCTCGGTCGAATGAACCCCTTGTCTAACAGCTCTTGTACCTATGTAGATAACTCCTACATGTGACATCCCCAATTTCTCGGCCTGAAAAGACCGATTTGTTTATGCTTTGTTTTTAAAATCAGAGTAATCTTTTAAAGAAAACAGTTGCGGAATTTGTTCCCAAAACAAAATATGATAAAAATTATCAAAGCATTTCTTTAAAGAAATGTATTTTCATTATATAACAAAATCTCGGGATGTCATGTTCCGATACAGACACATAAGCATAAACAGAACTTACATTATTTACACTAAAGATTTTACATCTCCTTTAATCTCTCCGTGAAATATATCTTCGTATCGATACCTGTGATACAAAGAAAATTGAGTGGGTCAGGCTTGAGAGCCTGGTGAGCATATAGGGTTTTCAACCCACAATAATATAATTATTATATTCAACCAGCAAATAATCAACCCAATTACCCATCCCCATTATCTTGTTTATTTCTTAGGATTTTACCCTAAGAATTCAACTACCCGTCATTCATTCATTCCTAAGGATTGACCTAAGGAATTAGCACAAAATCTATTGCTACATAAGGCGCATCTACCAACATCATCCTTTAAGTGCCTCTGCCAGGATTACGTCATACACTATGAGGCGTGACTGCCAGGTTTATGACATTCTCTTTGAGGCACATCTGCCGGCATTATCCTATAAGCGCATCTGCCAGGATTATCCTATAAGCGCATCTGCTAGTATTATGACATTCTCTATTTGGCGTATCTGCCGACATTATCCTACAAGTGCATCTACCAGGATTACGACATTCACTACTTGGTGCATCTACCGATATTATTCTTAAGCGCATCTTTCATACCTCATCATTTTATCACATACCAACTATCTCATCTACCCATGTTCTACCCAACATATTTGTAGATATAAAATACATATACAGTTTAACTCATTTAAAAACTATATAAAACATCCATTCCACACTCATCTCAAATAAACAACAATATATAAACACATAGCACGTATTTTATAACAAATACTTCATATTTATGTGTTAGAAGAAAGTAACTACACATTCACCCAAACATATACTCAATACATTCAAACAATACTTGTATTATACCCGTGTTTATGAAAGGGACTATACACCCACACATATAAACAACTTTATATTATACACATAGCACGTATTTCATAGAAAACACTTAATATTTATGCGTTAGAAGAAGGTAACTACACACTCACTTGATCAGAAGATGATCAGACATCACCACAGCTTGTAGAAGTAGTATTCTTCGGTAGATCTGGAAGATTTTCACAAAAACCGGACTTTTCGCGGGCAGAGCTTCGGCTCGGGAATTACACTTCTCGAGATCTTCGGGGCCTCAGGGCTCCGGAATGATACCGGGGCTTCGGGATAATTCTTGCACGAAAAACGATGCAAAAACGCGAGAAAGAGGGAAGAAATGAGCAAAAGAATCGACTGCCCTCGACATCCTTTTATAGGCGGCTGAAACTCGAATTACGCTGGGCGTAATTTTGGATAAGCCCGGTGACTCCCCCCCCCCCCCCCCCCCTCTTGGATAATATCCGATTTTTTTATATAAATTAAATACTTTAATTATTTAATAAACTTCAAAAATTCATATCTTCCTCATACGAGCTCCGTTTTCGACGTTCTTTATATCCCCACGTAGGTGAGACTACGATCTACAACTTTCGTTTAGACTCCGTCAGCTAACTTTGAATTTATTTTTATTATTTATTTTTAGTAGGCCGGGACAGGAAAACTCCGTTATAAATTCATAACTTCGTCATCCGATGTCCATTTTCACCTATCTTTTTATCGTTTCACTACTATTAACGAGATCTTTGATTCTCGTTTAGATTGTTTCGGCTAAAAACCGCTCGATCTCAAATCGACTATTCGGGTTGCATACCGCTAAATCGAAACTTAGAAAAATCATAAATTCCTCATACGAAGTCAGATTTGGACGTTCTTTTTATGCACGCTCATGGCTTAACGAACT